CACTCTTTCATTGCCTGCATGTAGTGGTCAATTTGATTGTGAGAAATCAGCTTCACCCTGTTTGGCTTAGTTCATCGGCCCAGGCTATCATCCTGTAGGTCTAGGGCAGCCTCTGGGGGCTCATGGGTTACAACCATTCCCAGCAGGCATCATTTTCTGGGTGATGAGGCTAGCAGGCCCCAGGTATGGGCTGGTGAGGAGGGTTAGGTGCACAGAGTGTGACATCAGTCCCCGCAGTGGCACTTGTTTTCAGCAAATGGCAGAAAACAGATTATCCCTTTTCATGTTAATGCTCTCTAAAATTCTCCTAGAAAATGCCAGGTTTTCAGAAAGGAAGGATAATTTTTTTATATGTGAACTCTAGTCAGAGTTTTCTGAAACCTTAGTTGTGGAAGCTGTTTTACAGGCTGCCAACTTGACTCCCCCTTCAATGGAATGAGGGTGTTTACTTTAATCTTTTCAAAACTACATAAAACATCAGCCAAAGCAGAAGGCTGCCAACCACAAAAAGATTACCATTTTGGATATGGTCTTGCAGCCCCTTTTTTACATCTTCACCGACGTCTCAGGAAGCAAATGCACAGGTTAAAAAACACTGTATGCCATATCTGTTGAATGAATAAATGAACCCCATGATGTTGTGAGCCACGTAGGTTATTCTGCAGACGTCACTGTGATGTAATGAACATCTGGTGCATTCATCTTTGTATTAAAGCAAAGAAAACCTTAAAATTGCCTTCAATAACCAGGGCTAATATGGGGGCATTTCTCTCTCCTGATTCCTCCTGTTCTTGTGGTAACTTGGTAAAATTCAACGGTCTTGTATATGCTAGCTTTGTCCTTTAGGACCTGCAGGTCAGACTCCTGCCCTCACTAATGCCAGTTTCTCAAGTGCTGGACTTGTGCGATGTTTTCTTGGTCACTGGGTTGGCGTGCTCTCCCCATGTGTGTCCCTGGTAACTTGGAGTCGTTCACCTTATCTCCCTTCTGTTTACTTCTCCTCTTCCACGTGCACCAAGCCGTTGCTTTGCCCAGTGCTATGGCTGGAAACCCAGACATGTGTGCAACTGACCTTTCTGAACTTCCCCTTTCCTCCTTGCTTCCTGTCCTCGAAGACTGAAGCAGGGAGAGAGAAACATAATGACTCTCGGAGAATTTCAACAATTCAGGGCTCAGCAGATGTTCCTCTGTCCTCTGACCCTCACATTATGTTGTCCTTATCCTATCGGTCAGGTCTGGGCTACACACTGGGCTACAAGGTAGCATCTTGTGGTCCCTGGCTTCTCGCCAAGGCCCAGGGCAGTCCTCTCGAGCAGAGTGGATGGGATCTCCAGGGTCAGGACTTCCCAGGCTGGGCATGGGCTCCTTGGGCATTTCCTTAAGGATACTCAGGCCAGTCTCTGTTGGATGCATGTGACGGAAATCTACTCTGGCTATTCAGATCCAAAAAGAAGGATGTATAGGGAAGATCCTGGCTCCAAGGGTAGGATGTACTGGAGCTCTGGGATGAAGCTGGGACCCAGGGCTCTGTTGAATGAATAAATGAACCCCATCTTTCATCTGCACCTGGTTCTATGAGCCAGCAGCTTCCTCTCCATTCAGATCAGCTGTCTCTACATCCTGGTCCCAGATGCCATATGTAAAAGCTGTAGGCCAGGCCCCTGAAGAGAGCCCTCCTCCTGACAGACTCATGTCCAAATTCCTGGAGAAAGGTGCACATTCACTCTGTGTGGGTCAGTGCCCAGCTCTTGTTCATTAGATGGTGACCAAGGGTTGATCGCATCATGTGAATGTGGCAACTCCCAATGCAGCCATGGGCTTGGTTGGAGAGAGGCTGTTTTCAGAAAATGTGTTATAGCAGACCATCCCACATGGGTCCTGAGTTACAGCAAATAAACTCACTGAAGACCAATGTGTAGCCTAGCAAGCTGATAATGTCCGTGTGTGTGTGTGTGTGTGTGTGTGTGTGTGTGTGTGTGTGTGTGTGTGTGTTTTTTGTGCGTGTTTGGGGGGTGTGTGTGTGTGTGTGTGTGTGTGTGTGTGTGTGTGTGTGTGTGTGTGTTCCTTTCCAGTGATTGGATGAGTCTTGGGTGCCCCTCTCTGGTGAAACCACCAAAAGCCAGTTGGGAGATGGCCAAGGCTGCCTACGTCTGATGATCCACCCATAATCCCCACTTATGTCTGGGGCCAAGACTCTGCCTGACTCAGCTCTTCTCTACTAGGGACCATGGTGGAGACTGAAACCTTCTTTAGACTTTCCTTTTCCTTGCTCATGCTAACTGGACCCTTCAGTGAAGCAACCCCCACAGACAGTGCATTGCTTTTTTTCTATTTAACACTGGATTCTGGTTTAGGTCTCTGGGAGAACCACATCACCTTGTCAACAGGCAGAGGTCAATGGGACTCAGTCTTTATTTACTGATTATCTCTTGCATTATTCCCTTGGCTGGTAAATATAATTAGTATAGATTTTACTAACTGATCTCTTAGAGGATAACTTTATTTCCAGATTTTGGAGTGTTTTTTTTACGGGGGGGGGGGGCACCTGTATGTCACAGCATTTCAACAAGACAGTACCTTGACAGGTGTCTGTTGAAGAAGGAATAAAAAATATGCAGAATTAACTTTTAACTCTTCCACTATCACATGTAATTTGGATAATTTTTACACAACGGGAAGAGAATAATGTGGATTAGATCTTCACCTCTTTGGAAAATGTGACCTGAGGATAAAAAAGGAAGTTCTGAATCCATGTAAATACTTCTCTTCATTGCTCCTCGGTGCCATTCCCCCAGCTGTGATTTTTGGCTGCAGAGGAGATGTGGGTGCAGAATGTGGGCTATACAGTGCTCTGGGCGTGGTGGGGACCGGAGATACCAGTCTTTGCAGGAAGATGGGAGCAGGTGCTAGCAACTTCAGAGTGAAATGTTAAAATAGGAAAACCATCCAAACCTCAGTTGAGTCAGGAGGAATTAAATTGTGCCTTACAAACTCATGTTTTATTTTTGTTCTAAGAAATGTACTTTATTAAATGTGAAAGTGAGAAAAAATTCTTCTCCACTGAATAAAATATCAGAAAACACGAGTGTGGATCTGATCCGTGTTCTCAATGACTAGAGGCTACTGGGGGAGAGTGTGATCTAGACCTAAAACTGACTTTTCTCTACAAAATGTTAATCTTGTTTTCAAAATTGTAAATTAAAAATATTTGTCTGGCAGTTTTAGTTTATAGTTTGATTGAGATATAATTGACACACAGTAAACTGCACTTATGTAAAGCATATAATTTGATGAGTTCTGACATATCTGCACCCATGAAACCATCACCACGATCACAATAAAGAACATGCCCATCACCTGTAAAACGTTTCCTCCTATCCCTTGGCAATCCCCCCACCCTCACTTTTCTTTCCCCATTATCCTCAAGCGATAGTTCAGAAGAACTGGTGAGCCATCCAGGATGCTAGCTCAGAGCCTGGGAGGGGGAGACCAGCCAGAAAGGGGTTACAATGTGGGATAAGAGGCTCCATGAGGAGGAAGGAGGGGAACATGGCCAAAAGATGGGAACAGTAGGAAGAGGTGCTGGGCACTTGGCCGGGTCCTGGACCCCCTCTTTAGGGTGCCCAGTGCAGGCTATTTGGTGGCCCTGCTCCTTCCTCACCCTGACACCCATCAAGGGGTGTGGCAGTTCCCTTCTTCTTTCTACTTAATAGAACTCAGCCCCTTTCCTGTTGTCCATCTCCAGGGCCACTGAGGCCACCCTTGGCCAGCTGCCCCAAAGTGCTCTGCACAAGGCTCCCATTGGACCATTGGCTAGCTCTGCCCTGGGCTTCGTGCTCTGGGATGCAGGGCTCACTCCAAACACCCATATCCAGCTTAGCACAGCCCTCAGTGTTCCCTGAGGGGAGGGCCTGCCACAGATGTATCTGGAACCATCCCCCTTGGGAGGAGGGCTTCTTTAGACATCGCCAGGACCTGCTCTTCAACTCTCTGATCTGGGTTCCCAACATTACTCCACTTTTGACACAAATTACAATAAAATGGCTAATAGAGGTGACCTCACTAATAGGTGGAAAAAGAGCAAATAGTTTGGGGGAAAATGGCTTATTAAGTGAGAAAAATAAAGTCAGGGCCCAATTTACACTACATTAAAATAAACTCCAAATGGATTAAAGACATAATGTAAAAGGGTAACTACAAATATAGGCAGATATCTTTGACACTGGGTAGAGGATTTATTTAATTTAAAAAGTGTTTAATTACAGAATTTTAAAAATATGTGGACAAGACTTAATAACAAGACCATAACAAGAGATATCCATGTATTCACCACCAGGATCACCAGATGTCAATCCTTTGCCCTGTTTGCTCCTAGTCTGTCTCTTAAAGAAATTAATGTTACAGGTATAGTTAAATTTCTACCTTTCACTTCTTTCCTCTTCTGTCCCCTTCAACAAACTTCCCATGTTTGTTTTGGTATTTTTACTACAAATGAAGGTATTCGAAACAACAGATGTCATTGAGGATGTATTTTAAACTCCTCAGAAATGATTATTACACAATATGTGTTCTGTAACTTGTTTTTTCACTTGCTTTAGAAGTCTGCCCATGTTGATGTGTGCAGATGTGGTTCATTCATCGAAACTGGTACATAATATTCCATCAAAATAGACTACACCTCGGCCAGTCAGCAGTCTCTTCATGGAATTATGAAAGCCAGTGCTGTGTGAAGATACTTTTCCTGTCTCCTGTGCCACATGTCTCCTGGAAAGGTACAGAAGTGGAAGTGCTGGGTTGAAGGGCATACAGACCTTCCTTTAACCGTATTTCTAATGTGAATCCCCACACTGTACTTGGATCAGACTTAATTTTTAGTCTGATTGATGTCAAATGCTATCTTTACTCATTCCCTTGAGTACCAGTAGGGTTCAGCATCTTTTTTATATGTTTATCGGCCACTTGAGTTTCCTCATCTGGAACTTATTCATGTTCATTGTTCACTTTTGTACTGGGTGGCTGTTCTTTTATTGGTTTTTGAGAAATTCTTTGTGTATTCTGGAAATGAATCCTTTGTCAGTTATATCTGTTCTAAATCTCTTCCCAGTTGCTTTTGGGGGACTGAATTGTGTCCCCCAAATTCGTTAGTTGAAGCCCTACCCCCAAACCCAATGGTATTTGGAGATGGGGCCTTTGGAAGGTATTTAGGGTTAGATGAGGTCACGTGGGTGAGGCCCCAATTATGGGATTTAGTGGCTTTATAAGAAGAGGAAGAGAGAACACACCTAGAAGGAGGCCCTCACTGCAAGCTGGGAGGGAGTTCTCACCAGGAACGATTTTGCTGGCATCTTGACCTTGGACTTCCCAGTCTCCAGAATAGTGAAAAATAAATGTCTGTTGTTTAAGCCACTCAGTACATGCTATTTGGTTATAGCAGTGTGAGCAGACTAACACACCAGTCTATGATGTGTCTTTTGTCAAATAGAAGGCTAATTTAAAATTAATTTTTACTAAAGTATAATTTACACATAGTAAAATTCACCCTTTGTAGTGTGCAGTTTGTAAGTTTTGACAAACACATACAATTATAGAGCTACCATTAAAACCAAGATATAGAATAGTTCATTCACTCTAAATTCCCCTCTCCTCCAGCCCCCACCAGTCTGACTTGAGTCCCTATACTTTTGGAAGCCTCAAATTTTAATGTATTTAAATTTAAATCATTATGTTACTTAATGGTTTGTGATTTTTATTCTTGTGTAAGAAATTTTCCTGCTGTAAGATCATAAGCATATTTTTAAATGTCTTCTAAGTTTTAAAGTTTTACTTTCCACTTTTGTGCCTTTGATTACTCTATTTTTGTATCTGATGTGGCATAGGGATCTGGTTGTGAGGTTTTTGTATAGATAATTGGCATCAGCTGTAGAACAGTCCATCCTTTCCTTATGATTAGCAAAGCCACCAACGATAAAACTAATGGGTTTGACTACTCAAAATGAAAGATTTCTGTCTAATCTTTCCAATAGACAGAGTTCATGAAGGAGTTATAGGCAGGGAGAAGATATTTTCGATTTTGCAACATCAAAAACTGATGAAAGATTTATCTAAAGAAAAAGTCAGAGAATCTAATAGAAAAATAAGCAAGTGCTATAACTGTTCGCGGATGTGGGATCCAAGTTGGTTAATAAACAGTAAGAAATGCTCAACCACTCTAGCATTCAGTGAATTCTGAATAAGATGAGAAGCCATCTTAAGTTCATCAGACTAGCAAAAATGGGGAAATCATAGGTGATGTCTACTGTAATTTTGGTGTCTTTCCTTCCAGTTTAAAAAAAATGTGCATTAAAAAGATTTGTGATCAAATCGAGCTTTGTCTGTATAC